TGTTTGGATATCTTGGGTACGTGTTGTGATTTTTCCCGTGGCATCCCTAATCCTGTTAATATGGGTTTCCTCTCTTCTTTTTTTTAATTAATCTTGCCAATGGTCCATCAATTTTATTTATTTTTTCAAAGAACCAGCTTTTTGTTTGGTTAATTTTGGCTATGGCTCTCCAGTTCCCTAATTCATTAATATCTGCTCTTAGTTTGGTTATCTGACTCTGTCTAGTAACTTTAGGTTCCATTTTTTCATGTTTTTCTAGCTGTTTTAATTGCAACATGAGATTATTTACTTGGTCTGTCTCTATTTTCTTGATGAGGGCAATAAATTTGCCCCTCAGGACTGCTTTTGCTGTGTCCCACAAGTTTCTTTGTGAGGTTTTCATTTTCATGGAGCTGTAGGAAATTTATTTCTTCTTTGATCTCTTCCATTACCCAGGCATTGCTAAGAAGTATGCTGTTCAATTTCCATGTATTAGAGTAATTTCTGAGGTATGCTTTGTTATTGAGAACTAGCTTGATTCCACTGTGGTCAGATAGGATACAGGGGATTATGTCGATCCCTTTGTATTTGCTTAAGTTCCTTGCATGAACTATGATATGCTCTATTTTGGAGAAAGTTCCATGAGCTGCTGAGAAGAATGTGTACTGTGTTGTTTTAGGGTGAAATACTCGGTAGATGTCAGTTAATTCCGCTTGAAGTATGACCTCACTTAATTTGGTAGCTTCTTTGCCAATCCTCTGGTTGGTAGACCTGTCCTTTTGTGAGAGTGGGGTGTTAAAGTCTCCTAGTATTATCGCATTGGAATCTATTTTATTCTGTAAGTTTGATAGTATTTGCTTAACATATCTGGGTACACCAATGTTTGGGGAATATAAGTTGATGAGGGTAATATCCTCCTCTTGGATTGTTCCCTGTATTAATATGTAGTGTCCATCCTTGTCTTTTTGTATTGATTTTAATGAAAAGTTTATTTTGTCAGATATCAGGATTACTACACCGGCTTTCTTACTGGGGGCATTTGATTGGTAGATCCTTTTCCAACCCTTTACTCTGAGTTTGTTTGTATGTTTGGCTGAGAGGTGGGTCTCCTGAAGGCAACAGATGGATGGGTCATGTTTTCTGATCTAGTCTGCAGTTCTTTTTCTTTTGATTGGTGAATTAAGCCCGTTAATTTTAAGAGATAGTATAGAAAGATGCATTGTGGTCCGTGTCATTCCGTTTTCATCAGTTTTTCTTCTTTACTTGTGTGCTTGCTCAGTTATACTTTGAGTAATGCCTGTTTGGGGCAGGTCCCAGTTCCTGGTTGCTTTCTTCAGGTTGTGTCCCCGCTCTTAGAATTCTTTGTAATGCTGGCTTAATGTTTATGCATTTAGTTTTTCTTTGCTATTAAAAATTTTCAGTTCTCCATCGAATGTGAATGCTAGCTTTGCCGGGTATATCAGTCTGGGTTGGCAGTTATTGGCTCTCAGGGTTTGTATGGTACTTTCCCATGTCTTTCTTGCATTCAGTGTTTATATGGAGAGATCTGCAGTGATTCTAATTTTTTTCCCATTGCAGTATAGGTCCTTCTTCATTTTTGCTGCATGCAAGATTGTTTCCTTATTCAGATCTATCATTTTTACTATAATGTGTCTAGAAGTGTTTCTCCTGGGATCTTGCTTGTTAGGTGTTCTATATGCTTCTGTTATGTAGTTTAGATGTTCTTTTTTGAGATGGGGAAATTTTCACTGATTATCTTGTTGAATAGGTGTTGCATTCTCTTGCTTTGATATTCCTCACCTTCGTCCACTCTAATTATATAAAGGTTAAATTTCTTGGCACTATCTGCTTGCTCTTGAATTTCCCTTTGGTATAATTTAAGTGATTTTTTTCCATATGTCATTTTTTGGTCCAGTTGGTGTATTCTGTCTTCTGTATCTGACACTCTACATTCCATTTCATTCACTCTATTAACTGTGGCATCCATTGTGGTTTGCATGGAGGAAATGGACTCTTTTATGGATTTGATGTTGGTTCTCAAAGTACTGATATCACCTCTTAATGAGGTATGTACTGCCTCTATTTTGGCATTTATCTCACTTCTTAGATATATACTGCCTCTATTTTTGCGTGTACCTTGTGTTTGAGATCCTGCATCTCTTTCGACAGTTCGTCCCTGTGTTCTTTCCATTTCTGGTCTATTTCTCGCTTTATTTCTTGAGTCATTGCCTCCAGCATCCCTTGGATGTAGCTTTTGGCTTCCATTCCTGCTTTGGTCTCACTGGGGCTCTCCCCTGGGTGGCTGCTGGCTATTGGGGATAGCTTGCTATCCTGGGTGTAGATAAACCTTGTAATTTTTCTCTGTGATTTTCGCATGGGGGTTCAGGGATTATTGGAGACTAATCTGAAATTTTGTTTTGGTCAATAGGTGTCTGTCTTTGCTTGGTTGCTGTTTCTGTATTGGTAGAGAGTCTGTACCTGATCTCGGTTCTGTTGGGAGCCGACCTCCAGCTGCTGGTCTGACCCACATAGGGTTCTCAGCTCTCTGCTGTAGATCACTGGCAGTTCCCGCCTTTGGAAGGGTTGAGCAGCCTAGACTGCCTCTGTTTGCTCCTACAGGTGCTCTTGGCAAGATCGAATGTGCTGGATGCACTCTCCCAGATGCTGGACTCTGCTATGGGCTCCTGATGGGTTTTTTTTGGCCGGTTGTGGGCTTGAACTTTGGGCTTGGGCACTGTCCCTCAGCTCTTCAGCTCAAGGCTGGCACCCTACCATTTGAGCCACAGCATCACTTCTGGCCCTTTCTGCTTATGGGTGCTGAGGAATCAGATCCAGGGCCTCATGCACCCAAGACAAGCACTCTACTGCTGAGCCACCTTACCAGCCTGAGCTCCTGCCTACTATCAGGTGCTGGTGGCCTGTGTTGTCCAACTCCCAGCCTATAATATATGGGTTGGGTTCTGATGGGGTTTGAGCTTCTCTTGTCATGAGCCCCCGGGTCTTTTGTTGTCACAGGCTTGCTTCCCAGGGGGTGCACCCTGTTTTTCTCCCCTCTGCTGAGGCGTGTGCTCAGCTTCTGACTTCAGTTGGGAGGAGTTGGTTGTGTTGTTCAGGCACTGGATCCCCAGGCCTGGTCCGGGCCCCCGGCCTGGGGCACGCCGGTTGGGCCTGTGCTACTGTTTATACTGCCTAGGTTATGCAGCCTGGGGTACACCATTCAAATTTCTTCTACTGTTGGGTGTCTTGACCCAGGGGTGCTGTTCCTGGCTTGGGTATTTAAGCTGCCTTCCAGGGGCGCTCTTGCTCTAGCCTGGCCAGCTGAGTGTGCTCCGTGGGCTGGTGGAGCTCTTGAACAGTTCCCGTTTTAGTGGGTCCTGTGGTCCAGGTGTTGGGGTAGGGAGTCTGGGTCAGGGTCTGGGGATTCCCACCAGCTCTGGTCTCTCTTGAGGGATATACTGTCCCCTGCGGGGTACTCAACCCTGGAGCTAGTTTTTTCTGTGTGATGTAGGTCGGTTGCCGTTGCAATCAGAGTTCAGTTGGGGTGGTTGCGGGCTGTGCTGGGTGGTGGTGTGGCTCTATGTGATTCTCTTCTGTCTGCCTAGTTCGACGCTGTCGGGTCCACACCGTGGGTTGGGCCTCCAGCCTCTGCCCAAGGGGTAGGGGAGGGGCCTCTGTGCAGGTTCTGAGCACTGGGGTTTGTCTCTGTTTGTGCTCTCCGGATCAGCACCAGTTCCTTGAAGGTCTTCTGCTCTGGTGGGCATCCCGTGTAGCTCTGGGGCTCCCATTGTGGGGCCAAGTTCCAGGCTCGGAGGTTTCTCCGTTTGTCGCAATCGGCCGGTCTGACACCCGTACCTCAGGCGGCGCAGGTGATCTGCAGACAGCCCCATGTGTCTCTGGGACTCCGGGCAGCCTCCGTGCAGATTCTGAGCACTGGGGTTTGTCTCTGTTTGTGCTCTCCGGATCCGCGCCAGTTCCTTGCAGGTCTTCTGCTCTGGTGTTGTGGGTGTCCTGTGTAACTCTGGGGTTCCCGCTGTGGGGTCTATTGGCTTTGGCGGGATGGAGCCTCTCTGCTTGGATGGAGAGTGAGAGGTGGGGGTGGGATCTTTGTGCAGACTCCCAGCTCAGAGATTTCTCTGTTTGTGGTGATCAGCGGGTCTGCAGACCAGCACCTCAGGCGGCTTCTGCGCGGGTGATCTGTGTCTCTGGGACTCAGGCAGCCCCCGCCGGGCCAGCTGGCTGCGGCTTGGCGTGCTGCTGCGCAACCAGTAAAGTTTGGGGGAGGGGTCTTCGCGCTTCCTGTTCTGAAATTCTCTTTTTTGTTATTTTCCACCTCCTGTTTTTCTCTGGGTGTTCGTCTTTTTGTTGTTGTCGGTCTTTTAGGGAGATTAAGCATTGGAACTCGAACTCTTCTTGGTTGGGGAGAGCTGTGGCATTTCCCTACTGCCCCATCGCCATCTTGGTCCCCCCTGTGATGACCTTTTAATAATTTCTTTGGTTAAAGAGCTGCAGTATGCTCTTCATTCAGATGAGATTCAGAGAGTCATGGGGACTTCACCGGAGTGGCACTGCTGGATTCTGGTGGTGCCAAAGTCCAGTCCAAGTCTTCAGAACCCCAGGCCAGGGCTTTATATTGGTGCTTACCCATGCTCAACTCAAGGATTGTGTTGATAATCTCAGGATACTTACTTATAGTTCTTTTCTCTTGGAAAAATCACACAAAAAGAATTTACGTTCAATTTTGGACTGTTCTCAAAAGTCCCTGAGGCTAATGGTGGACCCATCCCTGCTTCTAGTTAATGCTGTCCTTGGTCTTGTGTTGAATGTCAGTTCTACCTGGCCTGTTGTTATTGTTGCTTTTCTGCTGTTTGGTGCTGGAGCACAGTGGTGGCTTGACAACATTCTGTGATTTGAAGTGGCGGAAGCTTGTTCCTCCGAGGCCTCTTCCCAGCTAGGATGAGGGTGAGGGGGCTCGTCGCTGCATCTCATCCTACCTGCGTGTTCAAGTCACTCTCTCTTGGCAGGCTGCAAGATGAACAACGTTAACGTGGTATACACACCATGGTCTAACTTGAAGAAAACTGCTGACATGGATGTGGGGCAGATAGGCTTTCACAGGCAGAAGGATGTAAGTACTTGCTCCTCTGCAGAGTAGACCCACACCTGTACTGTCTGCCATGGGGGTGGAGGTGGTGAGGGCGGAGCAGGACATGGGTGTCCTAAGAGTTAAACTGAGCTGAAAACCTTGGCTTTTGGGGGGAGAAAAAAGAAAAATAAGAGTCAGTACTTCCCCCCCCCCCAATCTCTCTCAAAGGTAAAAATTGTTACAGTAGAGAAGAAAGTGAATGAGATTCTGAACCGATTAGAAAAGACTAAATCAGAGCGGTTCCCAGACCTGGCAGCAGAGAAAGAAGGCCGAGACCGTGAAGAGAGAAATGAAAAAAAAGCCCAAATTCAGGAAATGAAAAGGAGAGAGAAAGAAGAGATGAAGAAGAAGAGGGAAATGGACGAACTTAGGTATGCTGGAGCTCTGGCCTTGGTGTCAGTCAGAGAATTGTTCTTACTCATCTCAATCCTGGATTTACCTTAAGAATGACGTGTTACTGGATGGCGGGACACATGATGAAAAACCTTAAATGAGTCTATGAAAAAGGCACCTAGGCCAGGCACCGGTGGCTCATACTTATCATCCTAGCTACTCAGTTGGCTGAGATCTGAGGATCAAGGTTCAAAGCCTACCCAGATAGAAAATCCGTGAGACTCTTATCTCCAACAAACCATCAGGAAACCGGAAGTGACAATGTGGCTCAAGTGGTAGAGCACTTGCCTTGAGCTGAAGAGCTGAGGGAGAGTGGCCAGGCCCAGAGTTCAAGCCCCACAACTGACTCCCCAACAAAGGCACTTACATTAGTGTTCTGGTCTGATGAATCCCCCTTTTAGGATATGCAAATATGTGAAATAAAACAACCACCAAAAGTTTTTCTTAGAGTTTAGTTTGTAAAGTTCTTCAGAAAGGAAAAGATGTTACAATATGTATGTAATAATGACTACAATTTGAATGAGTTGTTTTAGCTATGAAAACCAATACTAATATTGACAAAGCTGTTTTAAAACCAAATACACACACATACAATTTTTTCCCCCTTTTTTGGTACTGGAACTAGGGCTTGAACTTAGAGCTTTTTCACTCAAGGCTGTCACTCTACCACTTCAGCCATACCAACATTTCCAGCTTTTTGGTGGTTAATTGGAGATAAGAGTCTTCACAGACTTTTCTTCCTGGGCTGGCTTTGAACCTTATACCTCAGATCTCAGCCTCCTGCGTAGCTAGGATACAGGCTTCAGTAAGCCATCAACATCCCGCTCTTTTTCTGTTTTGAAAGATTGAAATAAGGGCCGGGAAGGTAGCTCAGTATGGAGTGCTTGCCTTGCATGCATGAGGCCCTGGGTTCAGTTCCTCAGCACCACATAAGCAGAAAGTGGTAGAGTGCTGGCCTTGAGCTGAAGAACTGAGGGACAACGCCCAAGTCCAGAGTTCAGGCCCCACGACTGACAAAAAAAAAAAAAAAGAATAATGTGAGGCTTTTGTTCCCTACAATATTTCAAACATAGTTTGGTTTCTGAATACCAGTGAATAAGGCCATGAAGATATTTCAGTTTTCTATTGCTTCCATAAGAAATTATCACAAATTTAGTTGCTTAAAACAACAGATTTATTGTTCAACAGAGTTCACTGGTCTAAGTCGGTATCATGTGGGTAGGCTGGTTCCTTTCAGGGTAATTTGAAGAGGAGGAACTAAGAATAATCCATTGGTTTCCGGTATAAAGCGGTCAGTGATGTCGAGCCAGGGAACAGTGGAAAAGAACCAAATTGCTTTAGGTAGGAACTACTAGAACATGAGATAGAGACTAAAAAAGGTGAAAATACTTTTGAGCCATCAAAAAAGATGTCAGAGAGGCAGTTGTATTAATGAGTAGAGGTCAGAGGAAACGGGGCCTACACTAAAGTAAATTTGTGTGTTACTTTCATAATGATCCTTCATCCTGGGTGGTAAACATTCATGAAATGCTGTTGACTAGATAAACTTACTTTAAGTATTTTCTTCTAGGAGTTATTCATCCCTAATGAAAGTTGAGAATATGTCTTCAAATCAGGTATGCTCATCATTTACTCTAATGTGTGGTGAAATAAATCACTAGACACTTTAATAATTGAATTACCATTATAGTTGGACATTTTTGAGCATTGGTTCTAAGACCTCCATAAATACCAAAATCTGCAGGTGCTCTAGTCCCTTGTTTAATTGAAGTACTTATTTAAGTGGTAAAGTACTTGTTTAAGTGGTTAAGTACTCATTTATTACCTATGCATATTTTCCCATATTCTTTAAATAATACCCTAAATTAAATATAAATGCTATGTAAATAGATGTTAAATTTTTTTACTTAGACAATAATGACAAATCCATGCATGTTCAAATGGTTTTTTTTTTTTTTAAGTATTTCTCAGCTGGGTACTGGTGACTCACTCTAGTCCTGGCTACTCAGGAGGCTGAGATCTCAAGTTTGCCATTTGAAGCCAGGCAGGAAAGTCCATATGACTCTTACCTCCAATTAATCTCCAAAAATGAAGTGGCAAAGAGTAGCCTTGAGCAAAGAAAGCTCAGAGACAGTACCCAGGGCATAAGTTCAAGCCCTAGGGCTGACACACATACAAAAACCATTTGCATTTGGTTGCATCTACAGATAGGGAACCCACAGATATGGAAGGCCTTATGTGAACATACATACACACTGTGATTAGTGACAAATTTTGAGAGTTCCAGGACTTTGACATTAAATCTTTCCACCAGATTACTAATCCTTGTGCCCTCCTCTGTGTTGCTTGCTACCCTGTGTACTAGAACCCCAGGTTTGAATCAGCTTTTAAGTTCCCAGTTTACCAGTACAAAAGTACTTCTCCTAGGAATACTTATTATCAGAAGAAGGGTTCTTACAGCCTTTTCTGTTCTTAAAAAGGAAGGCTTTATTTCCCCTCAGAATCTTTGGTTAAAGGACATAGACCTTTTTGTAGTCTAACTTGGCAACATGTCCAGTTTTCATTTAAAGGCTGGTGTTTAAGATAAGACTTGAATTTTAATTTAGTTCATACAGTTTCAACAGGAGGAAGTTAAATGTTTCACCTGAAGGTGATTTTAATTTTGAATTTTTGGCAGAATAATTTTCTAATCTTTTTTAACCTTCGTAAATTTGGTATTGGAACCATAAACAATTATTTTTACATTCTTTTTGCATACTAATTAGCACTAGGTGGGAAAAAAACCATTTGTTAAATTGAAAAGCACGTGGACTCGAAGTGAAAGGAATCTAAAATACAAAGATGGTTCACATAAAGTTTTGGATCTCTGATTGGTATTTAAGTTTCTGTGATCCTTGAGACTTGCTTTCAGGCACATGAGAAGTGGGGTGAGGCACGCTCTTTAAAGTGTCACCAGCCCCGTGTTAACTCTGGGCTTGTTCACCTGTAGTTTGCAGTGTAATGCTGATGTTTGAAGTATAGTCCAGATATCTGTGCCAGCAGCTCTGCTTGTTGTATAGTTATCTGAGGCACAGTGAAGCACAGTGAGAGCCATAAAGTAACACCAGAGATAAAAACCAGATTCAGTGGAGCCACTGTTTTCTACCCATATCTGGAGTTTTCCTCCCGTCTCTAACTAAGGACATTGAGGGAGAAAAGGGCTTGTACAAACCTATGCCCTATCCCTGTCGGTAATGTGGGTGTCAAGCAACAAGAAAGAGGCGTTAACACACATCAGTACTCAGATTGTAACATTGTCAAGTCGCTGTACCAGGACTCAGCATGGTGGTGAACATTGGCAAAGGAGCCTGAAGACGCCTGGAGTGTCTTCTCCAGGATTTGGTTATAAGCCACATCATACAATGGGGTCCCTTTGCTGTGTATATGCCACCATATAAGATTTTCTTAAGTAAAAAAAGGAAAAGAACTCAAAATTGTCTTGGGCAATAACAAACTTAAAACAACCTTGAGGCTCAGTAAACTAGTATTAAGCCACAAGTATTGTACAAGGTGGTAGTTAGCACAGTGTAGTTAGTATGAAGGTATCATGTTTCTGTTTACCTGATGTGGATGTGAATGGAGAGCAAAGTTACTGCAGCGAAGCAGACCCATGTGACCATTGTCTCACATACTTTTTTTTTTCACTTAAAAAAAAAAAGATCTGTAAGGAATTTGTCTGAATAATTAGGATGTGCTTCTGCAGCATCTTGTTTTCTGATAGTCGCTTTTGTTAGACCTGTCCCGGCCCAGTGGGGCCTTTCCTCGTGCTGTGGAAATCATGGTGACTTGGTGCTGTGAGGCAGGCCAGGCAGGGATACAAAGAAACACCCTGGCTCTACTGATCCAGCTGCTTCAGGGAATTAAAGGAGACAGATGATGCGCAGGGAGATTAGCCTCGTTCCTTTTGGCTTCCTGAGCCCTGAGATTAGCAGTGAGAAGGAGGCTTGTCAGTTAAGATCATAACTGGAAATTTAAAACTTTGCAGGTTTTTATGGTTTCACTTTTATATTTCCTATAGGACGGCAATGATTCTGATGAATTCATGTGAAAAGAGGAAGGACCTTTGAAAGATGTGACTGGAGGGACAGTGGCAGAGCTTTTGATTTCATCTATGTTATAATGATAAAACCACCAACCAAAAATCTACCTTCATTCTACATTGGTATTACCCATTTTGGAATCCAAGAGAAATGGCTCCCGTTTTGCTGACAGCAAAGGAACAGATATTATATATAATACAGTTGAACTTGAAGACAGTATATAATTCTGGGGAGCAAAATATTTGGGGCAGAACACATCTCAGTACTTGGTGGAAGCTGGCGGCCCTTGTTTGTGAGATAGACTTCAGAGCACACCCACTCTGAAAAGTGGTCCAGCCCTGAAAGCAAGTGTCTTGAAATGCTTTTCATATTCATAAAATACCTTTTTTTCCCATCTTTTTAGGAAAAATTGGTTGGTGGGTAATAGGCCAGTGTTCTCCCATCCCCAGTTTTCTGCTTAGATACAAGGATGCATGGGTTTTGAAGATGGTGGTGGTATTTCAGCATTTGCATTCCCTGTTGTCTGAGTCTGGTGACTGGTGCTCCTCAGCTGTCTACTTGACCAGCTCTTGCGTCCTTGCTTTCAGGGAGTGAGGCCTCTGTTAGCCGCATCGTGTTTAAAGAAATAGTTGATTTTAATCAAGTTTGGGCCTGGGGGGGCAATTGCTTCCTGAGCATGAAGTAATCCATGCCATAAATATGGTGACTTCCCTCCTCCAGCCAGTTTGGGGCCCGAGATAAATAGAGGAAGGGATGTTCTCATCATTGGGTGGGAAAGAAGAGTTACCAGATATAGCATGAAGCAAAATCCACATTAAGTTGTGGTTTAGAAGGAAAGCCAAGCATTCCCCGGCCACCCGAGTAATTTGTGTCCCTACCTTGAAATAATAAGTATTTTGAGTAGTAACTTCAGAGTTGAGATTTCTTCAGTGTGGACTCCATAACATAGTATATCCATTGCTATTCATGGGCACCACTTGCTAGCCAGAGTGCTGCTGATCAGAAGACACAGAAAGCAGCCACTGTAAGAAGAAGGAAAACAGCAAAAGAAGAGAACAGAGCCTGCACGACAGCAAGTGTGTAGATCGCATTAATATACCCCAGATTCTTCCCACAGTGCTGTTATTCTAAGTGAGCTAAACTCTCCTGCAGTGGAGCTTCCTATCTTTCATGGCTCTTTGGAAGTGGGTAGAGCCAGAAGACAAGCATCACTTCCTACTTCAAGTTGGTATATGGGATTGAACTGGAAAGTTCTCTGAGGCATAGGTCATTGCCAGTCTTTGAAAAGGTGTGGGAAGCAGCACCAGAAATCAGTGATTTTGTGTTTGCGTGTGTCTGGTACTTAGTCTGAAGTTCTACTATTAAAAAAAATAAAAATAAAGTACCAACTTCTTTTTTATCTGGAAGGACAAGGATACGTGAATTCTTCAAATTTGCTGGTTACAAAAGAGACATCCTGCCAGGTGCCAGTGGCTCACGCCTGTAATCCTAGCTACTCAGGAGGCTGAGATCTGAGCATCAAGGTTCAAAGCCAGCCGGGGCAGGAAGGTCCGTGAGACTTATCTCCATTAACCACTCAGAAAACTGGAAGTGGCGCTGTGGCTCAAGAGGTAGAGTGCTTGCCTTGAGCTGAAGAGCTGAGGGACAGCGCCCAGGCCCAGAGTTCAAGCCCCACAACTGACAAAAAAAGAAAACCCTTTGCCCATGCTGGCTGTGAGTGATCTTGCTGTGAAAACCTCTGTGTGGTCGGCTCATTGTGCAAACACAGCCTTGAGCTTGCTGGGTAAAGCCCAGCCCTGAGCAAGCTTGTTCTGGCAGGTGCTGTAGAGGTGGCCTCTTCCTCTCCATGTCCACCACTGGCGTGGCCATCCCATCTCTTGTCTTCTGCCTGGTCACACAAGCCACTCAGACAGGAGACTGCCTCCACAGTTGCCTGTGTGCCCTCGGCTTCTGCCTGTGCAGGCCTCTGCTGCCCCATGTTGAACCCACAGAGTTTCTGAGGAATACATATTTTTACTGCGATGTGGGAGGTCATAATTCTCATCTTATACTGCGTCAGATTGCCAAGGCCTCTGAATTCTTGGCGTTTGTCCCGTTAGCTGTTTTATCTGACTTTCCCCTGCCTCTCCTTGGCCCCAGTGAGCAGCACAGGCCTTTCTTTTGAGGACATAACAGATTCATTGCCAGTGGTTCAACTTGGCATCAGTCATCTCATTTCTTGCTTCTGGCCTGTTTCCGGGGTGTTTGATAGTTGGAAATTGTTACTGTTTTCAGGAGCCTTGCCCTTATTCAGGCTTCTCTGAGTCGTACTATCCCTAATCAAGTGTCCTCTTTTTTTTTTTTTTTGATGCCAGTACTGGGGGTTGAAGTCAAGGCCTGGACACTTCCTTACCTTTTTTCCTCATGGCTGGCACTGTACTACTTGAGCCGCAGCTCCATTTCCATCATCACTGTGCATTTTCTGTGGTCAAGGATTGTGTTATTCAGTTACTCCGTGGTGCCCTGTTAAATTTAGACAGCTTTCCCAGTTGTCACCTGCCTTTGTCTAGGGCCAAGATCCTTGGCAAGGAAGTTTCACATAGTGACTGTTGCACCAGTAATGGAAAGCAAAATAGGTGACTGACTTGTTGAATCTTATCAGTACTGACGTGTTCTAAGTCAGAGCTCCACTTCTGGCTTTTGGGTGGTTAATTGGAGATAGTCTCATGACATTGGGCACCAGGCCCCAGTGGCTCATGCCTGTAACCTGTAGCTGAGATCTGAAGATCGTGGTTCAAAGCCAGCTTGGGCAGGAAAGTCTGTGGGACTCTTATCTCCATTAACCACCAGAAAACCAGAAGTGGCGCTGTGGCTCAAGTGGTAGAGTGCTAGCTTTGAGCTGAAGAGTTCAGGGACAGTGCCCAGGCCAAGAGTTCAAACCCCATGACTGACAAAAAAGTCTCGGAGTTTCCTGACCAGACTAGCTTCCAGCATGTGCAGTTCCCCTGACTGCAGTTCTAGCCTCCAGTCGAAGACCAGAGCTATTCCACCTGTGTCTGTCAGAAGGTGGAAGCCTTTGTCTTCTGAGCTAGAGGCGTTTGTGGGGAAACTGAACAGAGTAGCAAAGTAGAGAGATGGAACCGTTTTCCAGTTGCTCCTGAGTCATGGTACTGAAGCTGTGTTTTTTCTTTGACTTGAAGTGCATTGTGTGAAAAAGTCCCCATTTTCTGAATGATTAGAATAAGAATGAGATCTTTAGATTTGAAAGTGGACTATAAAAAATGGACCAAGCTGGGTGCCTATAATCCTAGTTACTTGTGAGGCTGAGGTCTGAGGATCACAGTTCAAAGCCAGCCCAGGCAGGAAAAGTCCATGAGACTCTTATCTCCCAATAAACCACCAGAAAGCTGGAAGTGGTGCTGTGGCTCAAGTGGTAAAAGTGCTAGCCTTGAGCTGAAGAAAGAGCTCAGGGACAGCTCACAGACACTTGAGTTCAAGCCCCACAACACAACAATAAAAAGGACCAAACTAATTAGAAGTATAAAATTAGAAATCGAGATTCCAGGCTTGATGTCAGCCTCAGCCAGCTTCTGAGCGAGCAACCCTCAGAAATGATGGCACAGGGGCCTGAGCAAGTCCTGAGCAAGCTGTACTCTGAGTTCTCCAGGGACAGGTTTGTCATGTGAATTATCACTTCAAAAGTTGGATGATGTCAAATGTGGATACGGTGTGCCCTGGAGGAGCAATCTGTAGAACGTACAGAAGCTTGTAGTTTAAGGAGAACTGTGTGTGCTTGTGGGATTTCAATTTACATTTGTCCTCAGGCCTACTGACTGACTGTACCTGCTGAATTTAGGTGAGTATAGAAAGTTCTGTTCTATGGGATAAACGGTGCTTTTCTCCTACAGCTCAGTAGCAAGAAGAGAAGAGAAAATGAAGCTAAAAGGCCATGATATTGGAGCACTAGCCTTTGACCCCTTTCTGGTATATTAGTATCTTGTGTTGCTAAACACAATGCTTGAGGCTGGTGACTTTAGGATTATTTGATTTGTAATTCTGGATGACCCAAGCAGTATGGTGCCAGCGTCCTAGTGAGGGTACTCTTGGTGACATCACCACATCACAGGAGGGTTAAAGTGTGAAGACTTCCTGTGATCCTTTCCTGACAAATGGGCTCTGAACTGGTAACTTCTGCGGGTTACATTTTCACCCCTCCATCCTAGAGCTCACCCTAATGTTACATAGTGGGTTTGTTTTGCTAGTCCTGCGGCTTGAACTCAGGGCCTGGGTTCTGTCCCTGAGCTTCTCTATGCTCAAGGCTAGCACTCTACCACTTGAGCCACAGTGCCACTTCCAGATTTTTCTGAGTAGTTTATTGGAGATAAGAGTCTTAAGGACTTTCCTGCTCCAGCTGGCTTTGAACATGATCCTTAAATCTCAGTATCCTGAGTAGTTGGGATTACAGGTGTAAGCCACCTACACTCAGTGTTTATAGAGAAATATATAAACAGCTGGGGGCTGGTGGCTCACGCCTGTAATCCTAGCTACTCAGGAGGCTGAGATCTGAGGATCACGGTTCAAAGCCAGCCTGAGCAGGAGAGACTTTGAGACTCCTATCTCCAATAAACCACCAGAAAACCGGAAGTGGCGCTGTAGCTCAAGTGGTAGAGTGCTCTCCTTGAGCTGAAGAGCTGAGGGACAACGCCCAGGCCCAGAGTTCAAGCCCCACGACTGACAAAAAAAGAAATATATAAACAGTGTTTATAGAGAAATATTGAGACTTTGCTCCCAGCTGTAAAAGTATGTTTAAATTCCTAAATGATTTTTTTTTTAATGCCAGTCCTGGTGCTTGAACTCAGGGCCTGGGCACTGTCCCTGAGCTGCTTTTGTTCAACTAGTGCTCTACCACTGGAACCACAGCTTCACTTCTGGCTTTTTTGTGTTTGATTAATTAATTAAAGAGTAATGGATGTTTCTGCCTAAGTTGACTTCAAGCCACAATCCTCAGATCTTGGCCCCCTGAGATGACAGGTATCCGCCGCCAGCATCCAGTTAGACTATTGCCTTTGTAGGATAACCCATGCCTTATTTTCAGCTGCCTTAGCTGCTAAAATTCTGAGATTGAAATGTTTGGTAAATTACAAGGGAAATGTAGATTGGAGTGAGAGTTTTTCACCTGGAAGAATTTAGAGATCGATGTCTATATACTGAAAATACAGATGTATATATACATCTATAATATATAATGTATATATATATGTTGGGTCTTCGTCCGTCTTTGGACAGACAGGGTCCGAGGAGAGGTAAGTGCAAAGTGCGGCCACTCGCCCCCCCCCCTCCCCAGCCTCCCTTAGCCCAGGAGACAATCAGACACAGCAGGGAGTCAAACCAAGCAGGAACTCATTTTTTAACAGGGAGCATCCCCTTTTTAAAACAAAAGACTTCATGGGAGGGGAGGAAGTGGAACCAACCAGTCACTGAAAGGCCACACCTTAGCGTGCACCTAAGCTTCCATGAGTTGTTTACACACTGAACCTAAACAAATCCGGCTCTGCCCACTCAACTTCCTCTCAGGGCCATCTTTGCTACCTGTGTTCCCCACAGATTTCCACACATATATACATCTATATGTATAGATAGATGTGTATATATTTGTATATATGTCATACATTGAGCACTTATCTTTCTGATTTCATTCTGTATTGTTAGGAAACCTCCATGCTTTCTTCCATGAGACATAAGTGGTCTTTGCTGTTGGCACATGCAGATTGATGCTGAATTTCTGCATTTGTGAATGGCCAAAGAATGACCGCCACTCCAACACCCAAGCAGCTTTCTCCAGTTCTTCAGCCTGCTGAGTAGGTGTCAAGTTTTAAGGCTGGTAAAAAGGAAGACATTTTCCAAAGTCGGTATTGTGCTTCCTTTCCACATGGACGCCATCAGCAAGCAGTGTAGTAGAAATAGAGTGGTTCCTGCCTCAGCTGTGGTCCAGCGGGGGCTGAGGCTGCCCAGGTTCCTGCTGATGTTTTTGGTTTCTGCTTCAGCAGCTTGGTTAACATTTGCTTATGGTTTCAGAAGAGAAAGTGGGATCTTTCAGGTTTGAACCTTTAATCCTTAGTGGAAGACACAGTCGAGTCAACATGTTAAAACTACAGACTAAAAAGAAAACATTAGAGGCCCTGTCCAGTGCTTTTGGCCAGTCCTGTCTTGGCCAGCCTGTGAAGTTCTTTGCTTCATTTTATGACCATTGAATTTAAGGCTAGTATAGTTGGTACTAACGAGGCTTGCCTGGCTTATTTCAAAGCTGAAGTTGCATTGGTTATCATTTTATTATTGAGATGTTGAGGTGGCTTTTGTTAATTTGATGTTTGGGGCAAATGGGGGAAGAGTTCTCAGTTCCCTTTCTGGGGACAGCGAGGGTTACCAG